TTTCCTGGGAATTTAGCAAATGCTCTCCATTGCACTTTCCACTAACCTTATGGTTTTCTCTCTCCTGCTCAGTCACTGCCACGAATTGCTTCTCGACTTCTCTCATGATGTGGTTGACTCTGCAAAAATGATAATTCTTGAATTTTGAAAATGCGCTCTATTGAGAAATATTGGAAAATCGCTCTATTGGCAAGAAATCTACTTTTTTTTTCGAATTTTAAAAAGTTTGATTTTTTACAAATAAACAGTACCTAGTGACAGTCTTCTCCAACTTTTCCAAATCCTCTGGTCTCACATCTCTGGCCGACCACGAATCCTCCTCGATCCCAATCATTTTTCTCAGAAACTCTCTGAGAATCTCATCCGACTTTCCTGGAACTTTTTGAATTTTTGAAATTCAAACTTCCCGCCCATTTACCTTGAGCATGCAGCCAAAATTGATAGCAGCCAATGCAATCTGAGATGGTGGGTAGACAAGAAGAACGTCCGTTTGCAGGGCATTCTGGAAGAACCTCATCGAGTCCCTACGAATTGATTCGAGGTCGAAATTCAGCAGAAGCATTCGAGTCTTCATATCCATCAGATGACCTTCGAACGGACGATATGGGCAGTGTACGGTAAGGTTGTAATTCAGAACTTTCATCAATTCCGGCTCCAGCTTCAGAATTCGTTCGGCATTTTGACGAGGGTCGCCCACACTAGAAATTGATGATGATCATTTTTTATATGATTTTTCTCAGTTGGGAGGTCGAAAATCAGGATTTGACCACGAAAAATCAGTATTTCGAAGCTAGAAATTATTTGAAATTCTGTATCTTGCTCATAAAAAAGGGGCGTTTGCCCTGGAAAAAGCAATGATTCGGCCCGCATTTGATTGAAAAACTCACTTCATGTTCTTGACAAAATCATCAATAGTGATATAAAACTCGTCGATCTTCATGGCGAGATAGAAGCAGCCCATCATTACCATCTGCAAATTTCGAATTTACAGTTTTTAGGTTTTCTAGGCCATTGACTATTGCGGCCTAATTTTTGGAAAATGAGTTTTCTAGGCCATAACCTTTTATGGCTTGAAAATGGCATGATATTCCCCTGGTTTGTTTTCTAGGTCATTTCAACGTGGTGCCCTAAATTTAGCATGTTGAGTTTCCTAGGCCACTAACTTTCATGTCCCCTAGAAAACTCAACATGCAAAAACTAGGGACCACGTTAGAATGACCTAGAAAATGTACCAGGGTCATGTTAGGCCATTTCTGACCCACAAAACACACGAAAAAACTCACTCTGATGGACGTATCGGATGGAACCCACACCAAGAAGGCTCTCTTGAAGAATGCCAAAGCGGTCCATTTCACCGATGGCCATATGTGTGGGCGAAATTTGTCGGCGAATCTGGAACAATGGAAATTTTGAGACAAGATCGGGGAAAAAAGAACAATTCTAGACTAAAAAATAGACAACAATTTGCCTTATATATTTCGAGGAGAATGCTTATTTCTAGTCTAAAAATGATTTTCCGGTATTTTCATACAAATTCGGACTTTAAAATTATGATTTTGAGACGAATTTCGGACCATTTTCTACGAAATTTTAGTTTAGCAAATTTCGATGATGCTTTTTCCTTACTTTAACGCCGCATCCTCAATGGATCTCTGCATCCGAAGCTCCTCTTCTGGAGTCACGAACAGCTCCAACTCCTCCGGTGTGATGACACTTTCATATTTCTCCCGAAACTTGATATTTGTCTCCAATCGAACCGCTGCCAACTTCTCCGGCGTGTACGTCCATTCTCTTTTCTGTGTGCTGGTGGAGTACATTCTCTATGCTGAAAATTCTAGTGAATTACTGAAAAATACTTCAAAAAAGGAATGGAAATTGGATTAAACCTCGTCAAACTGGCACATAAAATAGAAAAAAACTCATGTATTTCAACAATTAAAAATCATAAAAATCAACAAAAAACAATTTAAAAATCAATTATTTCCTTTTATTCTTCATTTTCGCCTCTCTCTGATGCTTGTGACTCTTTCTGGCGCCACCGAATCTCTGGAATGCTCCACGACGCTTCGTCTGCTCCTTGGCTCGAATCTCCGCGAATTTCTTCTTGGCTTTGGACAGAGACTCTTCGTTGTGAAGAATCTCGTCAACCATGGTCTTCTTTCTCTCCTTCTTCAGCATTCTGCTCGAGTAGAAGTCCTCAGGAGCGTCCACAACTCTACCGACCTGGGAAATTGCTCGTTTTCGACGTTAAGTTCATCAAAATCAATACCTGGAAGTACTTGGGAAGCACCGCTCGATCATTACGCTTGTAATGAGCCAATGGATCCAATGTTGACCTCATTTGAAGATACTCCAAATCTCTTTTGTGCTCTTCGGTGAGCTCTGTAGCTGGAAGATTGAACCAGTCGGATCCCTTAGTCTTCTCGCGTTCTGCCTGAAAAAAGAAACGCCGACTAGCATACTGAGGACGAAAAATCCAACCTTCTTATATCTAGCCAGCGCATTTCGGCCTAGAAGTCGAGTCTGTGGCTGGTGGTTATCCTCAAACTTTGGTCCGACCACTGCCTTTTCCAGAAGCTCCTTCAGGTCCTTATCCATCTCATAAGGCTCCAAATACGAGGTCCCGAGAAGGTCAACAGACAGGAAATTGCCTTCTTTTGCAGAATCATCTCCGCCGGCTCTGTCCACGACAAAGATATCATTAGCGTCTGCGAAATCCTCTTCTTGAGGTTGCGGTTCCTGGAAATCATAAAATGTTCGGTATTTAAAAGTGAAAAACTACCTTTTGCTGCTTGTTCTTCTTCGGAATTTCCTCATCGGAATCTGAATCGTCGCTGCTGGACACAGCGTCTGGATTCTGCTGCTGACGTAGTTTTTTGAAGTAGAGAGCAGACATTGTTGGCTGAAAAATGACGAAGTTGCCGAACAAAAAGAAGTATTTAACAAAAAAGGGCTCGAACACAAAAACATGGCTGAAGCCTAGAAATCACAGCCAGAGCATGGAAAAATTACAGCCAGAGTCTGAAAACCTTGGTTTTCTGATGAAAAAATGTTCGGAGAATTTTTCTATCACATTTTTTTTCCACCAAACAACAATGAAAATTGAATTTTCAGACGAATAAGGACGCAAAACAGAAAGATGGCTGAAGCCTAAAAATTACAGAAGCCAGTGCCTGGAAACCTTGATTTTCTGAGAAAAGAATTGTCGGAAAAGTTTTCTATCACATTATCTCCAGCAAAAAAACCAACGAAAATCGAGTTTTCAGGCGATTTTATGGAAAAAAATGCGGAAAATTGATGAAATCTAGCGGGGCGCACTTTCCTCGCGCGGTCGTGGCCTAAAAACCCCAACTCGGCCTCGGCAAAAAACCGCGGGAATTCAAAAAATGTGGTTTTCAAACGTAATAAGACTGAAAATCATCACATATCACTAAGACATTCACGTTTTTCATCGAAAATCTAGTCGAATGAGTACTAAAACTTTAGTAATTGAGCAAAAATTGTCTAATAATGTTTTTTGGGGCTCTACAGTACCCCGTTACAAAACCAGATTGTAACCCTTCTCTCCATTATCATCTGTTATCATCTTTGACGTCTTCCCAGCTTTTTTTCAGCCGTGCGAAAATCCGATACTTTTCTCTGCGTCTCCAAGATAAGCCTTATCTTTCCTCGCCGCGTCAACTTTTTCACCGATTTACCGGTCGCGGTGCGCCTTTAAAATGCGCAACGAATGGGTGGTGAAGAGGACATTTGTCGCCGCCAGAAATGGGTTTGAAGACGCGTCACGAGGATGATGATCCGAAGACAAAGGTTAGTTGGGAAAATTCTAGAATCCTATTTTTTGAAAACTACATTTCCAGGCCTATCGTCTTATCGGATATGCCGCTGTTACATTTTCGGCAGTCTCAGTTCTCTGTTTCTGTGTCACAATGCCAGTTGTCTTCACGTATGTCCAATCAGTGAAGCGTCAGATGTCTCATGAAATGGCCACGTGTAATGTGAATGCTCGTCAAATTTTTGATGACGTTGCAGCTCTGAAAGCCGGTTTCCCATTCGCCCCAGCTGGAAACCGTACCGCCCGTCAAGCTGGATACGATGGACATCCAAGCAAACCAGCTGGATCCTATGGAGGAGATTCTGAAGTGAAGGGAAACAGTCCAGGAGCCCAATATGGAGATGATAAGCCATTTGTAGCTGTTGGAGTTGAAGATGGACCACATACCGCCACTGTTACCGCTGACCATGAGGGTGCCTGTAACAGCTGCTGCCTTCCAGGACCACCAGGACCACCGGGACCACCAGGACGTCCAGGACCAAACGGAAAGGCGGGAGCTAACGGACTCAATGGAAACCCAGGACGTCCTCCAGAGGCACCATGCGAGCCAGTGACTCCACCACCATGCAAACCATGTCCAGCAGGACCAAAGGGACCACCAGGACCAGCTGGATATCCAGGAGCTGATGGACAACCGGGAGTGCAAGGAGAAAATGGAGAGAAGGGACCTGATGGAGGTCCAGGAGATAAGGGAAGATGTGGATCACCAGGAAAGGTTGGAGAGCAAGGAGCCACTGGAGAGAAGGGAGAGAATGCGGAGAACAATGAGCCGGTGCCTGGACCAAAGGGACCGCCAGGACAACCAGGACCACAAGGACCACGTGGAACTCCAGGACATCCAGGCGAGGATGGAGAGCCAGGAGCCGGAGGACCACCAGGAGAGAATGGAACCGATGGGGAGAATGGAGAGGATGGTGTTCCAGGTGTTCCAGGACACGATGGAAAGCCAGGAAGAGCTGGAGAACGCGGAATTTGCCCCAAGTATTGTGCCAAGGATGGAGGAATCTTCTTCGAGGATGGAACTCGTCGTTAAATGCGACTTTGAAAATTATTTATTTTTTTATAAAGCCATTTTTATCTCAAAAGTTGTTTTCTAACCTTCCCAGCCCTCTAAGACATCGTTGCACTCCAATAAAATCTTTAAAAAACAGTTTTTCCACCGCGGGGTTCAAACCCACAACCTGTCGCGCGATAGTCAATAACTCTACCACCACACCACACAGGCCTAAAAGCTTCGATATCGGCGATGTGCCCTATAAACCAGTGGAAAAACGCGCGCCACCTATTACTGCGTGAGCCTGCTTTTTCAAAAGAGAAAATTGCAATTTTTTCAACAAAAAAAAACGAAATCAACCGAAATTTTCAGCATTCGACACTAAAAATAACGGAATCCGAATTGTTTTCTCTTTTTTGTTTCTACTACGTTTCCCTTTTCGTATTTTTTTTTCAAAAATTGATCTTTCGATTCTTCCTCCAAAAATCTGAAAAAAATCTTCCCAGTCCGAAACAAAAAAAAGTCTCTGAATCGACATCGTTTTGTGACAAAAAAACTAGAAATTAGCTGAAATTAGCCGAGATCACGTTCTTCTGTAGTTCTCTCTGAGAATTCCCCGACGATTTTTTATTTAGTTGGCTGTTTTTTTTACCTTTTTTCATTCTATTTCTTTTTTTGCACAAATTTGAATATGTAAATCGAGCCAACAAGCCACTTTTCGAAAGCTTTTTCTGTTGTTTTGTGTTCAAAAATTCAAAAATTAAAGTTTCGCGCTGAAATTCCAGCCTACGACACTCCGAAATAACGGCGCTTCGCTGAAAATCCGTCGCCGCCAAATTCAAATTCCACTGCGAATTGTTCGATTTTTCACCTATTTCTTCGCTTCTCCTTTTCGAAATTTCCTAATTTTCGAAACAAAATGCCAAGTTCATTATCAGCACACATAATGACAGCTGTCGCTTTGCCCCTCTAATGCGCCTGCCTTATCAGTACGGCCCAATTTTCTTTCAGAACATAGAGTTTCCAGACCCGAATGCAGCAGCCAGTCACGCGAAAAGAGTGGTTGGCGAAGCGAAATCAGCCCGATTTACGAGTGGTTCGACGCAATTCCAGAGGATATGTGAGCTAGAAATAATGTTTTTTCAGCCAAAAATTATTTTTTTTTTCCAGCGAGAACCCCACAGAAAAAGCTCCATTGAGCTCGGTCAGGACGCGTTGGCAATTCAAGTAAGGAGGATACATTCTAGCGTTTCCCTCGAACATCAAATAAATTTAATGAAAAAAGAAAATCTTTCCTTTTTTTCTTTTTTGCTAAAATTGGAAAAAAAGCGGAGTTTTACAACATTTTAATGAGATTTAAAGCTATAAAAGGCCTCTTCTAGACATCTAAATTTCAGAATTCCTGGTCCGCAGCACTCGAAGTGAGTTAGGTCCCGCAACGAAAACTACCGTAACCTATAAAAAATCTTTTTTTTCATTTTTCCCTTCTATATTTTCCCCCAAAATTCCATCTGTCACAAGCCAGATGGCTGACCTCGTAATACAAAAATGTTCCAAAAACAAATTGTACTTTTTGTCTGCGTCTCCCCTTCCCCACACTCTCTCACTTCCCCTCTTCCTCAAGATTTCTTTCCCCCCCCCCCCCCCATTAAAAATGATCGAATTTTTCCTTTCTTTCTAGAAAATTCTATCATTTTCAGCGCCAAATAAATATGATCGAGTGCGAGCTGTGCTGTGAGTCCTATCGTCATCCGCACGACTTCCTGACCCTCTACAACTGCCGTCATCAGTACTGCAAGCGATGCGTGCTACGGGTTAGTTGAAAGGTCCTACAACGAAAACTACAGTAACCTGAAATACTTTCTTCGCGCGTTTTCCATTAATTTTTTTGGCAAAAAATCGACGAAAAATCAGTGAAAAAATTTTTAGATTACTGTAGTTATCGTTTCGGAACCACAACTCTGATTTTTTCAGCACACCACCATCTGCATCACTGAAGGCCGCATCGAAGTACCGTGTCCTGGATGTTCGGAGGACATCCATCCCAGCGATATCAAGTGAGCCAGAGCTCTCTGGAGCTTGACTGGAAATGAAAAATTCCGTATTTCTAAAGCGAAATTTCAAATTTTTTATTCCAAAAATTCGAAATTTTTAGCCAGAATATCGTATTTTTGAAGCCGAAATTCCGTTTTTTCAAAGCCGAAATTCCGTTTTTTCAAAGCCAAAAATCCGTTATTTTAAGCCTAAATTTCGCATTATTTATGTCAAAAATCCGAAAATTTCAGCCAAAATATGGTATTTTCTTAGCGAGAATTCCGTATTTTCAAAGCCAAATTCCACGTTTTTGATGTCAAAAATCAGTTATTTTAAACCTAAATTCCCAAATTTTAAGCCAATTTTCGTATTTACAGAGTCAAAAATCCGTAATTTTGAGCCAAAAATCCATATTTTTTATGTCAAAAATCAGTAATTTTCAGTAATTTTGAGCCGAAATTTCATATTTTTTATGTCAAAAATCCGTAATTTTGATCCGAAATTTCATATTTTTTATGTCAAAAATCAGTAATTTTGAGCCGAAAATCCATATTTTTAATGTCAAAAAACAGTAATTTTGAGCCAAAACTTCATATTTTTAAAGCCAAAAATCATCAATTTTAAGCCAAAATTTTGTATTTTTAACGTCAAAAATTTGTATTTTCAAAGCCAATTTTCACATTTTTGATGTCAGAAATCAGCAATTTTAAGCCAAAGTTTCATATTTTCAGAACCAAAATTCCATATTTTTTAAGTCAAAAATCAGTACTTTAAAGCCAAAATGTCGTATTTTTAGAGCCAAAATTTCGTGTTTTTAAATACAAAATTACGTAGTTTAGATCCAAAATTCCATATTTTTAAAGCCGAAAATCAACAATTTTAAGCCGAATTTTCGCTTTATTAATGCCGAAAATCCGAAAATTTCAGCCAAAATATCGTATTTTAAAAGCCAGCATTTTAAATTTTTGATGTCAAAAATCTCTAATTGTAAGCCGAAGTTTCGTATTAACAGAGTCGAAAATTCGTAATTTTGAGCCGAAATTTCATATTTTTTATGTCAAAAATCATCAATTTTAAGCCACAATGTTGTATTTTTAACGTCAAAAATCCGTACTTTAAGGCAAAATTTCTTACCGTTAAAGCCAAAATTTCATATTCTCAATGCCAAAATCCTATTTTTCCAGAATCATCACCGACGACGACCGGATTCTGTACGAAAAATATGAGATGTTCAGTGTGCGCCGAGTGCTCATGACTATGGACGACATGCGTTTTTGTCCAGCGCCAGACTGCGGGTAATTAAGTTTTTTAGGGTTAATTTCCTGCTTGACCTTGTTTTTAACCTAATTTTCGCCATTGCTATCATTCTGGTACAAAAATGCAAGATCAAGGTCCCGCAACGACAACTACAGTAACCTATAAAATATTGTTTTTTCGGAATCATTTTCTCGATTTTTATTGCTTTTTGATAGTTAAAATTTTACTAAAACGCACGAAAATCGATGAGAAAAAAATCCGGAAAATTGAATTATTTTTAAGTTACGGTAGTTTTTCCTGGACCTAACACATTTTTCCCTTTCTAAAAAAGGCTTTTCCAGATTCGCCGTCATCGTCCCAAACGGAAGTCGGTGCCCGCGGATCTCTTGCTATAATCCACGATGCCAAGAGGAATTCTGTTTCGATTGCAAACAATTTTGGCATCAAGGCAAGGCATGCGTCGAGTTCTCGCCGAATGGTAAGCCCAAATTTCCGAAAAATCAAAACTCCGTAGATCTGTGAATCCAGATGTCCCCCTAACAAGCTTCCCTTCAGATCCCACCTCGTGCCGCCCGTGTCCCCGCTGCCAAACCCTCATCATGAAGGCCAACGATGGCTCGTGCAACCACATGACCTGCACAATGTGTCGTGCAGAATTCTGTTGGCTATGCCTCAAAGAAATCACCGACTTCCACTACATGTCGCCCACTGGATGCACATTTTGGGGTAAAAAGCCATGGAGTGCCAAGAGAAAACTCATGTGGCAAATTGGAACATTGATTGGGACACCGGCTGTTGTCGTGGCGACTGCAGTGGTTTCAGTGCCTTTGATCATGGGTTTGGTACCCTATTCCATTGGAAAAAAGGTCTATCGGAAGATGAAATCCGAGTCGAAGGCTAAAAGAGCGATTTCGACGGCGGCGGCGGTGACTGGATCGGCTATAGTGTCACCGGTAGTTGCTGGTGTGGCTGTTGGTGAGTAAATTTATCCATTTTTATCATTTTTAGGACAAAAATTCATAAAAGTCAAGCATGTTTCTGAAGGTATTTTTGCCTCAAATTCGAAATTTATTTCGAAAATTCCCCAAATTTTCCACCCCAAATCCAATTTTTTCTCAGTACTCGGCGTCCCTCTTGCCATCGGCTACACGTACATTATGGTTCCCAAAGCCCTCATCCACGACGTCACTGATATGATGAACAAGAAAAAGCAGCCCGAAATCATGGAAATCACCGCCGGCGAGCTTCTAAAACTCTCGATGGATGAGAGTGAAGAGCTATGCAAGAAGCCGTCCACCATCGTCACGTCGTCAGAGACTTCAGAATACCGAAACGCCGATGGCTCGGCCCCCGGACCTTCCTCCGTGACGTCTTCTGACTATTCAGAAGACTTTGATTCGACTGACTTTGTGGAGTTGACGACGGATTCCGATTAATTCTAGTTCCAGTTTGATTTGAATGTATATTTCTCTGTGTGTCCGAAAATCTGTACATTTTCCCTTTTCTTTTAGTTTTATCATTTTTTCTCTTAATCATAATATTTGAATTCCCGATCTTTTCCCCCCGCTGCTTCTTCTGTCCCACTTTTTTCTCTGATTTGATATTAAATTGATTAATAATTTTATAACTTAAAAATACTTTAAACAGAAAAGATCAATATTTAGGCTTCTTATACTCTCCACCGCCTCCTTCTCCGGCCTTTCTCTTATCCATAATCTTATTGATCTCGTTGAGCTCTCGGTCCAGTTTCTTGGCCTCTGAGACAGCCGTTTGCTTCTTATTCTTTCGTCCTCCCTCTCCATTTTTGACTCCGTATTGATAGGCGGCCTTTGGGAGTGCTTCACGACCTTCCTGCAACGAATTTAGAGTTAATTTGAGCTATTTCTAGCTTTAAAACTACCGTAAAACCTGTATTAGAGGGGCCCTTCTATTTTTTTTCAGAATACCTCTGGAGGGCCCTTCTAATACAGGTTTTACGGTAATTCGAGCTATTTATGGATAATTTAAAGGAGGCCAGACATGAAAATTTTCAAAAGTCTAGTTTTTTGATATATGACACCGTACAGTCAGAAAATAACAAGGGACACCAAAACAATAACTCCCTGTTATTGTACAAGCGAAAACGCGACCGTTCTTCCAAGCGGCACCCAATCCTCGTTTCATAATCGTTTTAGCGGCAGAAGCCGACAAGCCCTGTGTGGTGTAGAGGTGAGCGCGCTTGTCTATCAGTCGTGCATCGCGGGTTCAACTTCCAGATGTCCATTTTCGTTTTTTTTTCATGCGGCGACATCTTGGAATGACCGAATAACTAAAAAAAGTCGGGAATAGTTGCCTAACATTGAAGAAATTTAGTGTATACTAAAAAAAATAAATGCTCGTCAAATAACGCGCATTGGGTCGCAATCGCGCGATTTTCCGTCAGAATACATGATCTCGCCCCGAGAAAACCCAGTAGACTTTCGTGTCTGGCCTCCTTTAAAATCAAAATTATGGTCTAAAAATGAAAATTTTGAGTTTAGTCGAGCTCTAACAACCACTCACCATATACGTGGCATACTCCTCCTCGGTATCGAAATCCCACCGATTCACCGCTTGATTCTTCTTCGCTCCTGAATCCATTTTCGAATAATCAGCCTCCTCATCCGAATCCCAAGCTCCGCCCATTTCCACAAGCCCTCCTGGATAGCATTCATCGTATCCTGACGACGCCTCCATCTCTTTCCTCTTTCTCTCTCGCTCCTTTGCCTTTTCAGCCTCTCGCTCCCTTTCTCTTTCCTTCTGGCGCTCCTTTTCAGCTCGCTCCCGTTCTCTCTGCTGCTCCCGACGCTTCTGTTCTTCTTCTCTCCTCGAGTTGGCTGTCTTCTCGAAGTAACGATCGCGGTCACGGCTTCTAGATCGCTCACGTCTTCTATCCCTGTCGTCTCTGCGGTCGCGGTTGTCTCTGTGATCTCTCGAATCTCTAGAATCCCTTGCCTTTCTCGACGGCACATATTCATCCAAATCGTCGTAGATGCTGTCTCCTTTAGGTGCAGAAGACACGGTTCCTGATGACGTGGGGGCTCTGAATTCATCCTTCTTCTTTTTCTTGGGTTCCGCGCGAAGATGGGAGAGCACATGGGCCAATTTTGAAATGATGAGGCTGTTTGCCTGGATGGATTGAGCCGATTCAGCGCGAGGGAGGTCGTGGAGGGATCTGAAAATATTTTTTTGAACTAAAAATATCGAATTTCTTCTATTTTTACCTCAACAACGTCGTCGGAATATCCGTTTCCTCATCTTCCAACTCCACAACGTACGCCATCTTTCCCTTCGCGAACAAATCGTTTCTCAACGGAACCTCATTCTTGAATAGCACTCGATGAAGCGATCGAACCATTCGATTCTCGGAATGACTCTGTGCCAATTCCTGCGTCAACGACGATGCTCCTTCCGGCTTCTTTTTCATTTCCAACGCCTCCACGTCATTATCATTGTCTTCCTCGTCGTCCTCATTCATCTCGCTTCGAACTTTGTTCAGAAGAGAGTAATCGAGACCTTTTACCAAGTGAGTATGCTCCAGATCACCACCAAGATACTTTGATTCCAGGATAGCTTGTTTTCTGAGATCCGCCTGATCTTGAGCGGTTCGTGCGTCTCCTGGGACGGCACGATAGGCAGCGGTGAGCTTCGTCGTGTCTTCCTTCTCCTAAAAAACTGATTTTCAGTTAATTTTTCTCAAATTTCGATCAACTCACGTCTCCTTGCTTTCTTCTTTCCGCTGCTCGATCCCTATAATTCTTTAAAATACTCTTCAAATGCGCCTCATCCTCGTCGGCTTCCGTCTTCTCCTTCTTCGTCTTCCCGTGCGATGGAGCCTGATGCTTTTTGAACTTCGCGGGCTTGAGATGTTTATGTTTGAAGCTCGCCGGCTTCTCATCGTTCGACGACTTGGCTTCCGGCTTCGCGAAGGCCGACGAAGCCGGTCGATCGCTCCTGGTCGAAGTGAGGAGCTTCCGAAAGTCCTCGTTTCGAAGGTTCCTGAAAAAATCGATTTTTTGGATGCAATGCGAAGTAAAAAGGCTTACGTCGGATTATCGCTCATAGTTCACCGGTTTTCTCGTTGTTTCGGGTGTAGAAAGCTGAAAAATGTGACATTTAATTTTCAATACTTTTTGGACGGTTACAAATAAAATAACGACATTAAGTGATGACTTTTACGAACTATAACATCAAAATTTGCAATTTTCACTAATTTTTTTAGCGAAAATCAATGAAAACTGGCTGGAAACACTGAAAAACTGAAGAAAACGATTTTTCAAAGGAAAAACTATTTATTTAGCTGTAGAGCGCACTTTATTTTCGTGGCCGGCGGACTAGTTGTTTTGCGACCGCGCGGTTGTCACTCGAGGGGGTGTTTGAATGGGTTTTTTCTTGTCACTGAACTAGAGAAGAGTTAGTTTAGATTAGTGCAAAAATGGAGCGAAATTGATAAATTTTGAATCTTTTTTTTTTCGAGTCTTTATGTAACAAAATTTTTTAGGTTATCACTAGAAAAAGAGAAAAAGTAGGTAGAGACATTAAACGTTTGGCGACTTGGTTTGAGCAGTTTATTGGAGATTTTGTGCGAGATTTGGGTTAAAAAGTGGAAAATTGGATTTATTTTAAAAACATTTCGGCAAAAAATCAATAAATTTCTATGGAAACCCGTTCGAGAATAGGCAAGTTGGCACCAGTAAACAGCATTTGAGAATCTTTTATTTCAATAAACACAACTAAAATTTTAAAGCTAACTGAAATGGATAAATCCTGGTTGAAAAAGGATAAAAGTTAAAACTCGTTGTATAATAATTTTCTCATTGGAATTTTGTTGGCTTCGAATTTTTCGAACGCTTGGGGCAAGGTGAGGGATAGAGCTACAAAATCGGAATCTGAAAGTAAACATTTTTTTTTGGAAAACAAAGCCAATGAAATTTGAAGTTTTAAAAACATTACTTGTTTCCAGTACCCTTCATAGACGACCAACTAGAACTTCATTCAATTAATTTCGACAATTGTGGGATAAAAAATAAATAAAAATGCGAGTCTACAGATCGATTCTCGTATCATTCGAATCTTCTCTCTCGAGCTGGAAGGCGTAGAACTGTATAATTTTCATACATGTGGATGGCCGGGCCGCCTAGGACAACTTTTCGAAAATTTTATTTTTCGAATGTGCCAAAATATTTATATTGGCACAAATATTAATCCAAATGCATACAACCATCCGAAAAAGTCATTTAATTGAATTTTTAGCAAAAAAAAATCAAACTTCATTAAGCCAAAGAGGAAATTTTTTTTTCTAATTACGACTTCAAAACAGTTTTTGTCGACAGTATCGGCCTCTAGTGTGCATTTTCATTCACTAAGAAGAAAAACCATCTCGCAATATGATAATTCGCTCTAAAATTTCAAAATTTTCAAAAAGCGGGCCGGCCCGGCCATGTGTAATTTTTTCCGACCCGGCCCGGCCCGCTTCCAGAAAAATCTCAGCCCAGCCCGGCCCACGAATTTCTGAATTTCTGAGTTTCTGAATTTCTGAATTTCTGAATTTACGAATTTCTGAATTTCTGAATTTCTAAATTTATAAATTTCTGAATTTCTCATACTTGTAACGGGCCGGGCCGGGCTTTTTCCCGAATTTCCGAGGCCCGGCCCGGCGGGCCTGTCATTCCACAAGTTTTGAAAATTTCAAAAAACCAAAAAAAAATCACATAAGGGAAGACCCTTATGTGATTTTTTTCGATCAAAAAATTTTTTTCGAGTTTTTTTGATATTTTTTGATCAAACAGACAAACAATCCAAAAAGCACAAAAAAAATATAAAAAATTGTATTGAGAGCTCAAAATTCGGTTCAAAATGATAAAATTTTTGTTACCGGGCCTTCCGGACCGGGCCCGGGCCTTGAAATTTTCCTCAGGCCCGGGCCCGGGCTTTGGCGGGCCGGCCCGGAATTTTACAAGTATGGAATTTCTGAATTTCTAAATTTCTGAATTTCTAAATTTCTGAATTTCTGAACTTCTGAATTTCTGAATTTCTAAATTTCTAAATTTCTGAACTTCTGAATTTCTGAATTTCTGAATTTCTGAATTTCTGAATTTCTGAATTTCTGAATTTCTGAATTTCTGAATTTCTAAATTTCTGAATTTCTGAATTTCTGAACTTCTGAATTTCTGAATTTCTGAATTTCTGAATTTCTGAATTTTGAGATTCTTCAAACTTACAAATTATACCATCCGAATAGAGAAATCGAAAAAAGAACATTTCGACAAAAAATATTATATGGAAAATTTTTGATGCCCAAAAAATGCATTACCGTTTGTTGGGTACGACTGAAAATTTCAAAGTGTACTAAACAAAAATAGAGCTTCAATTTTGGACCCCTCTTGGCCTTCCTTGGTAAAATCTCATCGCCTTCCTCTGTTTTTTTACGAATTTTTTTCTTTTTCAACAATGAACAGTGTCGGTGGTTCCTGGCCCTCCTCTTCTGAAATTTCCGGATGCAATGATCAAAAAATGCGTATTGCAACAAAACTTTTATTGTACATAGCCTTTTTTCAACTTTTCCCGATTCCTCCCGAAAATATAAAATTCTCCCGCTTCCGCTTTCCTTTTTCCTAGAGAGCATCAAAAATGAAACTTTCCATCTTCATTTTCCTATGCTTCTCTATACTATCATCCGCTATCTATTTTAGTGGTGGTAGCCAAAATAGATATCCTTCTGAATCTCATGATGGTTATGATGATTACTATGCGCCCCAGAGACCTCCGAGTTATGATAACTATGGTCCACCACATAGACCGCCACATAGACCACCACCACGACCGTATCCGCCGCCAAGACCGCATCCGCCACCAACAGCTCGTCCGCCACCCTGTCCGAAAGGGTGGTACTGGACACAGAGGGAGTATGGTGGATGGTGTATGAAGGTGAGTCAGGGAAAATTGTCTAGGAGTTTTGGCATTCAGAAAGGGTCCATTATCAAAATTCGAAAATCGTTCCAAGCGTACGTGTAAACCGGGCCTACCGAGCCTTTGCGGGCCCTGCATTCTTTTTTTAGAATCAATATTTTGAACCAACTGAATAACTGAAATAGAACTTGACGAGTACCACAAAATAATAATTTTTGCAAAACTGTATCTTGCACATAGTTACAGACAAAAAAAACAGGCAAAACATGGCTTCGCTACTTTATAGCTTGTAACTTTGTTCATTGACAAGATACAGCTTTCCAAATAGTATTATCTTGCAGGACGAGACGAGTTCAATCATATTTATTTTAGTTGGTCCAAAATGATTGATTCTAAAAGAAACTATGGCGGAGCCCGCGAAGACCCGACAAAGACTTACAAATATAATTTTCGGTATTCCCTGGAACCGTGGACCACCCAACTGCAGAGAAGCTGTGCCGAGCTAAAGGAGCAGTACTTTCCGGGTTCAGAACCAGAACGGAAATCAACTTTGTTATTGGTAAGCTCTAAATGCATTTTTTAACCGAACTTAAGTTTCCTAGGCGACGGAATGTCCGTAATCCTGCCACAACCCAGTGGAGGTGTCTGGGTTGGAGTTAAAAGAGTTCCCAGATGCATCGGACAACACTTGACTCCCGCTTGTAAAAAAACTCATAGCTTCTATTGGACAGACGGTTCGGCGAATGGATATGAAGCAATGAAATTTCAACCTAACGAACCGGATAATAAGTATGGTCTTACTTGAGCCAGTTATTCCAAAATTCCACTTTTGACCTAGCAATTTCCAGCGGAGGCAAAAACTGTGCGTTGCTGATGATATCTTACGGACCAAAAGTTCCCGCTGAACATCCGTTGAATATAGGACAGATGATTGATGTTCCGTAAGTTGGAAAATTTTGAAAAAAATCAGAAAGCCAGTTTTCAGATGTAGCCAGAATGCAAACTCTTATTGGCCACCTGGCTCCAAACCCCGACAGAATAGAGCATATGTATGTGGGAGGAGGACTCCTGGCTATGGATAATTTGTTATAATTAGCTGATAAATATTTGGAAACTGTTAATAAATTAATTTTTAATCTCTTTCATTCAATTGAATACCGTACTCCGGCCATTCTGACAGAAAATCTACCCTATTCGTTGAACTAAATTACCTCGGTTTCTATGAAAGATATCAAAAATTCGCAAACTGATGAAATATTATTGACATTATGATAAGTAATTGATCAGTTGACACATTTTTGATATCTCTTCTCCTTGACTTGCTCTTTGAGCTAAATTATCTCGGTTCCCATGAGAGATATCAAAAATCTGTAAATTAGTAAAATATTGGAAATACTATGATAAACAATTTATCAGTTGACAGCATTTTGATATCTCTTTCAGAAATTGAGATAATAGAGATTAAAGAGCACTCATAGGGTGACATTATATCAAAGGAAGTACTGTAGTTACAGCTGAATTTTCCAACTTTTTACATTTAAAAATTGATTGAGAATAGTAATAAATATTGATCCCTTTAATCATTCTGACAATATTCATTTATTCCATTTCAAAAAAATCAAAAAATTAGGCTTTCGGCTTCTTTCCACAGATGTACGCCTTGATGTCCCGATCCTTTCTGTCCATTTTGACATAGTCGAAATCGCAACTGAAACTTCCCAAAATTGTTGTTCCATATCTCAATTCCTCTTATCTCTCACCTGACATCATCCAAAAGTGCCGTCTGGGATCCGAGCACACTTCCAGTGTATGAAGCAGTGAGTGTGGCACAGTTTTGGCTGCGACTGAATTTTATAATCATTTTGTTTGTATTCTGGATACTCAGTGAGTAGTACTCACTTTCTAGCATTATCCGGTTGATTGCATGCCCATCCAAGACCATGGGTTCCTGTAGCCGAGTTATCGGTCCACAGGAAACTGGTAGCCCAGGTGCAGTTTCGAGTCAAACCAACCTTCTCACAACTCGTTTGTCTTTTTAGGCCGACCCAGATGCTTCCAGTGCTTGGGTAGATGTGGGTGGAGACGGTGTCTGGAAGGGGAGGTTTTCCTTTTTAAGCAGCTACCGTAATCACTAGAACAACCAAACCCCCTAACCTTTCAATTTGAGCTCAATTATCTCGGTTCCTGTCCAAGTTATCAAAAAGTGCTCAACTGATTAAATGTTTATCATAACATCATCTACGTTTTATTAGTTGACCACTTTTTATATCTCTGACAGAAACCGAGATAAATTTACTCAAAATTAAATGTTAAGGGCGGATGCTACAAGTCTTTCGGTAAGCATCTAATTTTAAGTCTTATGTTTTTTTTTTTTTTTTTTTTTTGGCTTATTGTAACACTGGCAACTAACTGTAAAGATAAACAATAAGAAGCTGGCAATGCTGCTTTTCTAGGAGGTAGATCAAAAACCTCCTCAGACGAGTTGAGAACTGAAGTCCCGGTGAGAAAAAATCAGTTTACGAAAACCAGAAAATCTCCTGCCGCGTGTACGCCGCAGGACTTTTTTTGGGTTTTCCTCGCCGGCAGGAGATCTCATCTCGCCTGAGTCTAAAAAAGCTGACCAACTAGCCTAGGCTCCTAGCAAGACCCACACATCCTGAACAACTCACATGTCACATATAACGACTCCAACTGATTCTGAAGCCCTGACAAAGTCGCTCCTTGCGCTTGGCAACGCTGCTCGGCAGTTGACTGGGTTATAGAATCCTCGTAGAAAATCTGAAACTCTTAATTCCTCTCCTTCGGAACATTGCTCTTGTAAACTTCTGGTAATCTTGTTACCCTAGAATTTTGAAGAATTTGTCCGGTGGCCGAGGGGTGCACGCACTTGTCTGGTAATCTTGTTTTGCGGGTTCGAGCCCACCTTCTTTTAAACTTTTTGTTTTTGCATTTTTTGGCCATTCATCAGTTTTTCACTTCTTATTGTGACTCGGGTATCCATAAAAGCTACCCTAGAATTTTGAAGAATTTTAAATTTTTTCGAATTTTCTAGGTTTTTCATGACCAACATTATCGAAAAATTGGATGAAAAATTTTTTTGAATTTTTTTCATTTCAACAATA